AAAAAAAATAATTTACTAGTAATAATGAATTTAGACCAATATTCTGTAGTTTAAACATTAATACACTTATTTACCTGCATGTTATTCTTCAGCCATGATGTTTAATGCTGGTGTCAACTGCCTGAGCAATTCAGGGCTGACCCAAATCTAAAGCAAGTTGTTAAGGGCATTGTTCAAATGCCTCTTAAACATTGACAGGCTTGGGATATTGAATATATCTCCAGAAATCCAGTTTTGGTTTCTTGGTGAAGAAATGCTTCCTAATTCTGAACTTCTCCTGATGCAGCTTTGAACCATTCTCATCCTATCATTGGATAACAAGGAGATGACATGAACACCTCCCTCTGTACTTTTGGAAGGATCTGTTGGAAGAATTATAAAACAACTTCTCTCACAAGTTAAAAATTAAATTATTAGTACAGTGTTGTGTCATGGAAGCATAAAACCATTATGTAATTTATCATTTCTAATCTTCAACTTTGATACTAGATCACAGACCAAACATCTTGAAACTTTTTTTTTCTGGTTTTGAAGACATTATTTTTCATGATCTTAAATGTCAGAATGGTGAGATCAAGCAGGAAGCTGGAGCTAAGAGTGAGAGAGGTCATCAGAGGAGAAACTTGTCAAGAGGCATAGTCCCACAGTATCTAATCAGACCCAAATCTGTGCTCTTGGGCCAAGGCTAAGATCAGGGCCAAGATGGCAACCTGACTCCAGCTATGACTCAAAGTGCCCGCATAGAAATTCTGCTCCCACATGAAGAAATGAAAGAGCCAGGTAGGTTTGCTTCATCTCCATCTCATCCAGCTCTTCTCAATCACCTGATAATGGTTGTGCAGCTGCACTGCATCCAGCCTTCAGCAGAGACAAACAAGCTCTTGGGGAACATGGTGTTTTCAATGGCCAAAACTGGGATTTTGCTCTTAGCATTGTCTAGTTTTAGAAAGAAGGTAAGATTTAATGTAAACACATTTCTTTGCTAGAATATTACATTGTACAGAATAATATGATGTGGCACAGCTACATGACAAAATGCAAGTTCCCTGCCAAAACAGATTTGACAAAAAGCTTTTTGCAGCTTAGGAAAGCTTCCATTAATTCATACATTCAAACTGAAGGTATCATGGGAGACTCATTGGTGTACAAATGCCTTGCACCTGTTCTTTTAACAGATACAGATGAGAACAGTGGGATGTTGGCTCTTACAATGCAGAGCAGAAGGTATTTACCTTACCTGGCACAAATAACAAGTTATAGGATTTGTTGTAAGATTTAATGTACAATTTAAGATAAAAAACAAACAAGCAAAATCTTAACAGTACCATAAAACATTTCCTTTTTGTAAAACACATGTTTTAAGTCAATGAACATACTCTGATTTCTCCACCTTCCAGAAAGCACAGTAAATCATGTCACACCATAATAATGAGTGACATACTGAAAGGTATCTCTCACTAAAGAAAACATAGCAACCCATGACAGATACAAGTGAGAAAAAAGAAGCTATGTGTACAAGAGCAGCAACTATATGACAGCCATAAAGATGAAGATAGTTGTAACATAACAACAGTATAGTTGTTTCCCTGATTATCTTGCTCTGTATAATTTATATTTATTTATTTATGTAATCCTTTCTTTATTTTTTGCCATCTTGGGTAGCAGATATACCTCATTACATCTACATTTCAAAAATAAGGTAATTCTTTATAACCTCTCTATTTTACTTTCTAAAGTTTTACAGAATTCACTGATGAGTCTTTAACCTCTGTTAAATGTGAGCTTTTCTTGGTACAAGAGAGACTCCTGGACCAGGTCCAGAAGAGGGCAACAAAGGTGATTAAGGGATTTCAGCATCTCTCTTGCAAGAAAAGGCTGAGAGAGCTGGGTCTGTTCAGCCTCGAGAAGAAACAACTGAAAAAAGACCTCAACAATTAGATATATATGTGTGTGTGTGAGTGTGTGTGTGAGAGAGATATATCAATATACTTTTATACATATATATATATAATATATATATATATAAAAAAATAAGTGTCTGAAGGGAGTTTGTCAAGAGGGTGAACCCAAGATCTTCTCAGTGGTGCTGCACTATAGGACAAGGTGGCAACAGGAGGAAGCTGATGCACAGGAAGTTCCACCTGAATCTGAGGAAGAACTTTGTATTGCAGATGACCATGCGCTGGAAAAGATTTCCCAGATGGGTTGTAGAGTCTCCCTCATTAGAGATATTCAAGAACCATCTGGATGCAAACCTGTTCAATGTGCTCTAGGATGACCCTGCTTGAACAGGGAGGTTGGATCAGATGACCCACTGTGATCCCTTCTGACCTGATCCATTCTATGATTCAGTTTGGAAAATCAGAGGCATTTTTATTTGAAATTAAATGTATTTGAGAAGTTATTCAACCATAACTCTGAGGAAAAACATATATTAAGGAAAAATAGACATGTATTTTTGAGGAATTTCTTCAGCTTTTGAAGATCTGTCTCTCCTAAACTTATGGTTCCTTAGTAAGGTAGAAGTGTCTCATGGGTTAACCATGCTTTGAGCAGGAGCTTCAATTCTAGACAGCTCCTGTGTTCCCTTTAAATTTGATTGATTTATAAATTCAAAAAACATTTTTCATCACCATTGCTATTTATCTGGATTCCATTATCTGTATTAATTAATTAATCATGTCTGTGACATTTTTAAGGCTAACAAACCTTTCTTTAAAACACATAGGTTGGTTTTAAAGTCTAAAGAAAGTAAAGTATAAAGGGGGAGGCAATTACCAATTTTTTCCTATTACAGGTGTTTTTCAGGCTGTCCTGAAACTTCTGAAAGTTTACTTGTAGGTATAAGTTTACATCTGTAATTTATTTTGTGCACTGAACTTATTTTGAAATGGGCACACGCACACACACACACACACACATATATATTATAATTTAAAAGATACATTTTCTATAAAAGGCAAAATGGCATCCTAAATATCTATTCATTTACATCTCTAATTTGGATCTATGTTTATTATTCATTAAGTCAGAATCATTATGGATTAGGTACAGTTGAAAAAAACTTTTCACATACAATTTCATACAATTCGATTATTTATTTTTTTCCTGTTTCTGTTGACAGAAATTCTGTTGACAGAATTAGTTATGAAGTTCTTGTTTTCTAATATGTTTGCCTCTACAAATGACAAGCACTTGGTATGAAAGAGAAAAACAAAACAAAACACAAGGCAAACACCTTCTACTTAACTATTCCTTTTAGTTTTTCCATATTCCAGAGATGATGTTCTACCTGTGTAATACATTCTTTCCACCTGAAATGCATGTATGTAATTAAATGATCCCAGTTACACTTTTGGCATTTGCTTGAACACTCAGATGAAAAAACATTCTCTTTCAAAAATAATTTCTAAATACTTTCTAAATATTTTCTAAAACTCAGAAGAGGCTGCAAAACTAGTCAGAATGAAATTACAGTAAATCTAGTTGTATTGAGGCCTGGGAAAGTCATAGTATCACTATACTAGTGATACTAGATAGGTCTCTGTGTGGACTTCTCAAAATCTAAAGATGGGAGATGCTTTGGAATAGGAACAGGCTTTGTCTCTATATGATGTCTACATAATTTTCCCATTAATAGAGAACAATAGGTTGCAATGGAGGATAGCTTGGAAACTCAGAAAGATATGGGAGGCAGAACAAAGAATGACTTGCACCAATAGCCCAGTTCAGAGGCCAATACATAATGAAGACAATCACACCTTGCCACGTGTAGTTTTCAGCTGTACTCTGAAGATGGAATCCAAGGCGTAAAAGTTCTATGTTGAGGCTGGGACTCAGTTGTCTTCAGTGATCAAAAGTGTCTCGCTCCCCTGGATCCATGGTACTGGTCCAGCTGGGACCAGAGGGACTGGGGAGGCACAGGACGTGAGGGAGGATGTGTTTTTTAGAGAGACCTGTGCTTATATATTAGAATTGAAATCTTAAACTAGAAATCATTCTCTATTCTCCACCCACTTGACTTATTTACTAAATGTTAGATTAAATACTACAGTTCTTGCAGACCTCCCACAATTTCCTTGTGACATCAAGAATGCATTTGGGGGAAGGTTAAATATGGAGCTTTCAGATGACATACATTACATAACAGAGTTGAACATTATGTCCGAGTAGTGGAGAATCATTGCACGAGGGTTATAATCCATTAAACTCTTTCCCTTTATCCTTTACCATATATATTACAGGCATAGAACCTATTGATCAGGCAATTTCAACCAACTACAGAATTAAATGAGACATTCTGAGGTGAAAAAAACCCATGAAATCAACAAAAATCCTCGGTGTTTAAAGGAATAGGTAGAAAATGATGGAAAGAATAAATGAATGAAGACAGGAAAATTGTCTGATAAAGTCAAAATACCATCATCTACAGCACTGGGAACTGCAAATCAATCATTTCATAATGAATTTTAAAGGAGGGAAGATAACAATAACAAAATTACTTTTATTTGGAAAAAGAAATTAAGCTCTGACAAAAAAAAAAAATACAAAATTTAATTAACACTTCCTGATGCTTAATAAAGGATGTCTGAATGCTCATTAGCTTTATATATGGGAAGTTTTAGTTTTTATATAGTTTTCTCTATAAAGTGAAAGAAAGAGATTGTGGTACAACTTTCATTTTTTAGTTCATGATAAGAGAAACTGATGTTAAATGAATAACATTAATCTAAGCACAGATATGGGAACACCTGGAAATAGGAATAACTTAGAGCAAATAAATTTGTAAATAGAAAATGGTAATTTGAAAGGTACTCATCTTAAAGTAACTCCAATTTGGATTTTTTTTTGGTGAAAAACAACATTCAATATGTTTTATTATTGGCTACTACATGATTTTTCTCTCTTGATATTTTAATAACAATTTTCTATTGACATAACAGATTTTATGTGTAAAAATTGGACAATTTGTCCATTTGAGAAAGTGGCTTGACATTTCTCTTACAGGTATATATTTAAAACATGCAACAGAGAAAGTACTATAAGACACTGAGAGTTTTGTTTTGAAGTTCCTTAAACAGTTTGAATCCAATTTGATTTTAAATGATTATAGATATATTTCTTCATTAAAGGTGAAAGCAGGTAAATAACAAATTTTCATTACAAACCTGTTATGGAGCAAAATGTTGATTCATGGTAGTGATGGACAAGACACGCTGAAAACTTTGACAGGGGCCTGTTCTGGCAGAAGGTTTCTCAGCAGGGAAATATGGGCATATTGGAAGAAGAAAGTCTGCTCCAGCTGGTCAGGATCCAGATTTGTGTCATTCCAGTCTAACAAGAGTTGTCCCTGACTCCCCTGAGGTAGGGGACCAATTACAGCTGGCCCTTTCTTCAGCAGCATAAAATGATCTCTTGGTAAACATAGTTAATTAATAGGCTGACTCAGTAAATATCTACTCCTTGATATGATAGACATATAAAAAATTTTCCTTTTTGTTCAATAAAACTTAAATTGCATATTTTTACTTGAAACATTTTGTTATGATTACTATTTTCCTGGTAGCCCTTATCAGGGGAATCACTTAATAGCTACTCCAAATGTTTTCCAACCTTTTCAAACAGACAACTTTAAGGTAACCAGCCACCACAAATACAGGTTTTATTAAACTAAAAATATACAAAAAAACTTTTTCAGCTATAAGATGAGGTAAACAACTCTCTTTAGACCTGTCTTCTGGAGCTTTTGGGTTGTTTTCTTTATTTTGGTTTGCATTTTTTATTTTATGGGGTTTTTTGTTTGTTTGTTTGTTTTTGTTGCAGCTCCAAATGAGCCAGTTCAAGCCAACAGTGAGACACAACAAATGCTAGAACATAACACTTGTACCACAACTTATGTTCTGAGTAGAAAAAAACAGGACAACAGGACAACATAACCTTAGCAAATAGGCCTTAATGCCACTTGCCAGGGGATTTTAGATTTTTTGATGTTGACATAAAGGGTTACTGCTTTGGCTTGCTGTCCCCAAGGTCACACATGAATGTTCACTATCAAGAAGGTTCTTTTCTGCTGTCCTCTACATTTGAAGTTTAGCTATTTGCACACATTGGTTCTCACTCCATCTCCTTAATGTCTTCTCATCTGTCACCAGACTGTCCCCAAGGTGAGTTCTAGGGTTTAAAATGATTAGTTATCACATGACAAAAGGCATTTAATTTTGAAAGGATTTAATTGAAGATGGGTGCAAGCCTAACACTTCTTTGCATTTATGAGTTAATGGGTTTGAACCTTTATTTTAACTCTGTCTTGTATCTACTTTTTACTTACTTTTGTGGTCTTAGTCCATATTTGGTACAATTCTATATCAAAGTATTTTAACAAGTATAATGCTATAATTTAAACAAAAATACAAGTGCAATATTGAAATATCAGTCATGAGTTAAGAAAATGTACGTCCAGAGAACTGTATTTAAAAGCACATATTTATTGTAAATAATCAGACACAATACTTAGTCTATGCCTAAATTTCTATCAACATCATTCTCAAAAAGTCTGAATCCCTGCTTCTGGCCATACTTAACAAATGTCATAAAACTGACCGTTTAAAGGTTTAGCTGGCACCTAAATGAAACTGGGATCCAAAAGCTTGATTTTTCTTTCACATGTGACAATCATATTTTTTCTAAACTCTCCCATCACCCTAAAGCAATAATTCTGGTGAACTGTAGTTCACCAATTTATGCCTGTCTTAAGGATGAGAAGGCAGGCAGGCAAAATGAGATAAAGATGAGCTAGTATTTGGGAGCAGGGGAAGAGTTAAAGTGTGGGATTTTATTGACTCTTGTCAAGTTACTTGAAACGTTTCAGCCTACTTCATGATTAAAATATGTATAAAGTACATATTATTACAGTAAAAAATATTGATATGTCTTAGTACTGAATATCTAAGTATTTATGCCATTGGAATTTCCCACAATATTTGAAAGAAAACATTGGATTTGGTGAAGAGGTCAGTCTATTTGACTAAAATTCATTGATATAATTTCCTGTTGTAGTCTAGATTTTGTCCACAGTGCTTGCACCAATTCCTAGACAAGACTTAATTTTGCTTAATGGATGTGACAAATGAAGAACAGCTTATAGTAGCATCATATTATACTGAAAAATGGACACCTAATATTATTCAGGAGAATTCTGAAAACAATTATTTAAATAAAGAATTTGGTGTTCATTATTAAATTTCAATTGTTTCACACATAAATCTCTGGTCAGTAGCACACAAAGATAGTTATGAAGTATGCCTTGCACATATATGTTTTGTGAACTTCTAATGTAACGAAACTTATTTGAACTAGTAGATGTATACACAAATGAGAAAAGAACAAATTATTTAAATCTCTACATTTTTAAAAGTCTGTCTGTCTAGTTTGAAAGAAGTACCATATAAAAATGAGTTTATTTTACTGTAATAGATCTCATTATATAAGAAAAGTATGCAGAGATATAAAGCAATTTCCTTTGTGTAGTGGTGATTCAAATCTCTCTTAGAATTCTGTATGCAATAACTATTACACTTATTTTTTTATGGATTTACTTTTCCCCCAGCTTAGAATATAATGACCTTTGTAACACAAAGGTTTCAATAAGTGAAGGAAAGTCAGTGATTGCTCTTTAAAATCAGTGATGACCATGCTAAATCTTTTATTTGCTGGGAGAAAAATTTTCCAGTAACCACTTCTAGGTATAAAAATGCTCAGATTCTAAAAGGAAATCACATTTTTGTTTCAGACATCTGCTGTACAAATGTATAATCCAACTGTTAAAACAGCATGGATGTCATGGAGAAATTCTTCAATTGGTAAGGGATGGGGCAAATCTGTCAGGAGGTTCCCACCCACAGAAAATGAACAGGGTTCTTGAAACAAGTTCAATGACATAGTCAAAAAGAAAGATAATTTTCCCTTTGATCTTTCAGTCTATATTTTTTATTACACTTGCTATGAAATTGTGATTAACTAAACATGCCAAGAGCTCTTCTTCTGTGAATATGATTAGTCTAATGGCTCTTTGTCATTTCAATTTCACACAGAAAAAGGAAACTTCCCTGATGAGTAGAAGGAAATAAGGAAGTGTCTGTGAATACAACCTTATCTGAATATGAGTAATTACACTATTTCTCTTTGGAAATTAATATGAACAGAGTTTATTATAGTCCTCTCTTGATATGAAGGACTTACATGTCAAAATGTTGAAACAATAATAGCTTTTTCTTTTCAACTATATTTGGAATGTGTAAAGCAGTTTAAAACTTTTTTTATGTTCTTTGTTTTATTTACATATAATTTCTGGATATAGTTCTTTTCTCCCCCTTTAGATGTGAATATCCTGCTAGATGAAAATAATTTTAGAGTTCCTGCTATATGTGCTAATTTTTATTGTAAGAAAATATTCTGTGATTGATTTATAGAAGTCTTACAACAAGCATTCTGTGGCTTTTTAGAATATAATAATACACATATTTTTTGTATAATTCTAAACTTTACTATTATTTTCAAAATAGAAAATGAATTTCAACATTCAATCCTGCCTAAGAAGAATTTATCTTTGTCTTCTATGGATAAATCCTTCTGTAGAAGTAATGATACTAAGGAAAATCTTTAGCCTGGTAAAGACTTTAAGAAAAAGGTTTCTAGTAAACTATGTATTCTACTAGGAAATATAAGGCACAACACACAGAAAAACATTAAATCTAAATAATCATTGCTTTTGTTTCAATTACTCCAGAAAGGAATTCTGCTTTCTAGTTGACACGTATTCTAAATTCTATAATGTGGATTGTGAGTTCCATTAAATCTTCCAAATCAAAATAAAAATATTAATAAGCTTCTTAATTGTTTTGGCTTACTTAAGCATACTAAACTAATGAAAAATAAATGTGAAGCTTTAATTGCCTTAAAACTTGTCTTTAACATGTACTTGTGGTTTGCCAGCTGTCCACCTCACAATTTTACAGAGCTTGTTTTATCTAACTTGGTGGGGGAGTTTGACCAATCACCTCTACTGTGCAGCAGTAGAGGTTAATTATGAAAAGCAGAAGTATTTTTTGAAGTGTTTTACTTCCTTCATGATTGTTCACAGTGACTTACCAGCGTAACCATCCCTTAATACAAACAGCAAAAAGTGATAGTGCCATAAAGGAATTCACTTTAACAAAGCATGTTTTCTAGTAAATCTGTTAGATTCCACATCTGTGGCACATAATGAGGATTTTGTACAAGAGGAAGAGAGAGAAAGAAAGCTAATATATTTTGAAGGAGTACATATAAAAATGATCTGGTTTTGGTAAAGATTTTTTATGTTAAGAAATGCAAAAATAAAATAGGTGAGGGGTGACACTCATATAACTTTTCCAAATAGTTTCCCCAGATAGGAGAAATGTATAATAGGAATTATTTTTATTTGGGGGTGGATTTTTTTTTATATTTTAAAAAATTTATATGTCAGAATGTAACTACTGAAGAATAAAATCATGGTAATTTGACTTGACACAAATAGAGATAAATATAAAAGGCATTTCTAAAGTTTTCAAGGGAAAGGTAAACTTTCTTAAGTAAGATGATTTTCGTTTGATAATTGAAGAAGTAATTCATCCTAACATCAAGAAGTTGTGTGATAAAATAACATTAGTATAAAAAAACAGTCGGAAAAAATGTTAATGCAGTTTAGTATAGTGGTTCTCACACTGTGCTTCATGGTCACTGGAGACATCTTTGATCAAATTTGTTATCTCTGATCAAATTTGCCAGCTTGGCTCTTTCCTTTTTCCAGACTGCATTCATTTACAAAAATATGTTTTATTAGTAAGCAGTGCCTTTAATTAATCCAGTGATATCATATTAATGAATGACAAACATGTCATTTTATGAATGGCTGAGGGACACCAGGTGAAAAGTTTGGTAGCTCCAGGAATAAGAGTTTTCAGAGTTTTCTTGATTTTCACAAAGTCTAGTAGAAAACTGATTAGGTAGACATATTCCTTTTTATAAGAAATTGCCTTTTTTTTACAAGCCACTACATGATAGCTTGCTACAAAATAGCAACCTCACTGAGGAAGCTTTTCTGATAACAAAAGGTATATTTTCAATATAAGTCTATTAATATTTTACAAATATACAGGTTATTTCTTTAAATTAAATTAAAGGATTTCATTCTGAAGTTTGTTTATCACCCATTATTAGAATAATGTATATATTGCAACCTTTCAAAGCATAATATGTAACACAAATGACATAGTAGTTCAGGAGACTGGCCTTGCATTCTGGATTGACCTGACTTCTTTTTTTCCTCAGGTGCTTAACGGTATTTCTTGTTGAACTTCAAGGAATGCTTACTATATAAATTGATGGTATTTTTCTTCTTTTAGGGAATTGTCCTTCTAACCATTTTGTTCCGAGAAAAGGTATGTCTGCTTCACATCCGATAACAAATTAAATATTTACTGACATCTTTGAAAAGAGGTTAGTGGGCCTGGTCCTGAGCCTGACACTGTCACAAGAAGAGCTGTAATGTAAATAGATCCTTGCAGAAGTACACAGTGACTTGAACTACATGGGAAATCAGTTTTTATAGTAAGCCCTCTCCATCCCTGCCATGCTCATGCACTTACAAATGAGTAAACATATCCATCTGGCATGTTGTCAGCTGAGAATACTCAGAAATACAGGGAAGATATTCTTTCAACCCTGATTTCCCCTGTTTCTACTAACAAAAATCAGAGAAGACATGCAGACATCTAAATACACTACGAGTATCCTGACAGATTCAGAATAAACCCTCAAGGTCTTTGTAAGATCATAAAAATGTAAAATAATTTAGATTGGAAGGCCCTTCTGGAGGTCCCATTCTACCATTCCTTCCTCAAAGCAAGAGCAAACTTCAGAAGTAGATCAGATGGCCTAGAATCCTGCTCAGTTAAGTCTTGGGTGTCTTATACATTGTATGTGTCACCACCTCCTTTGAAGCTCACTATTTCTTTATATTGACATTTTATTCCTGATTCAGATAGACAAATTCAGGTGTACAACTCAGTAACAGGGACGGACATCTGATGCCATTTGATATGACCTAGCCATGAGACCTGTCTCCACCTGCCAGAAGAGCATGGGTCTCTCACAAAGTCTCATAATGTACTACACAGACCTGTGTGGATGGCCTGAGTAGCAAAGGGGTCAGTCAAGAAGTCATTGTATTCAGCCTAATTTATCAGTTTAGGACTGAAGTATTTAGAGTTAGATGTCTAAGGAATTAAAACATTAAGTTCACAAAAAAGTTTTTTTCCTTTTCTTGATTACCTGTGCCAGGATGGGTAAATCATTCCTTCACTAATAGGAGTGATCTCATTACACTGCCTAACTGCCAGGTGGCTGGGACAGGTAAACTAAATCCCATCTTGTATGACCTACATGTGTCAGGAGCATTACCTCAACTCCTACACATTGGCTTTGAAAAGTCTTCCTGAGAAATGACACTAGAATATCACCCATTTTGTGTTATGGATGTATTTATATTGACAATTTTTTGCCTTGATCTAAAAAAGTGACCAAGATTTATTTGTCTGATTGGTGAAGATAACACACAGAGACTCCCTGATAAGCTTTGGTGTTTTAATTAATATTATGTACAAACAATAACCTTCCTTAGAAATGCCATACAGAAACTTCTAATAAAATATGTGAATACTTGCTCTCATTGCATGTTTTATGAGATGCATATGCATCTCATTATATGCAGGTTGCATGCATTTATGTGATTTTTATTTCATGGGAGATGCAAATTATTTCTGCTTTCATTTTTGGTTTCGGCTTTTGCCATCCTTGCTCCTTTTTTTCGCACAGTTATATGCATTTAAAAGGCATTTGTACATCTTGGAAATAACATTTTGACTAAGTGGGCTACTTGAAAATATTTTAAACATTAGGGAATTCAATTTTAATAATGCAGGGAGCAAAGGTGTGCTCCTTAGGAATAAAGGTGTACTCTTTAGAATCTATTAGAAACGTCACATAGTTCAAGAGCTCCCTCTTCTGACACCAAACATATCAGAATATTTAGTCTAAAAGAAAATCTCCTGGAAGGTAATTAAATGGCTCTGTGACTCTCAAAGTTTACATTTTTTAACCTTTTTTTTTTCTTGTCCAGGTCAAACCTGAGATTCTATACAGGTTTTTTACTTTAAAAAAAGCAATGCAAATGCTGACTTACAGCCACCTACTTTTAGCAAATCATACATTTCTTAACTGGGAATTTTTTTTCCAAAGTAGTAGTAGCAGTTCACCATTTTATTATTGATATTGTCAAACCAGCAATAAAATATTATTTATAATATATATGTGTACATATATATATATATATATATATATATATTTATATGGTGGGACAGGACCACTGAAGTGCAGTGGAGAACAATCACTTTAATGCTTTAAGCATCAGTCACAAGCATCATTTTATTGAATGTAAAAATTGGGTGAGATTTTCAACTCTGTGAACAATTTTAGTTCCCTAGGTGATGTTAGAATGATATGGATGTTAAGCTATGTATAAATATGCAAGTAATGAAGAATTCTGCAGTATTGTTTTCCCAGGCTAGAATCCAGAATCCAATATTAGAATTTAGATTTCTGTTCCAAAGCACATGGGGACACAGAATTCAAAATGGCACCCAGGACCAACAAGATAACTAACAGCTGCTGCCAACAGCCAACATTCTTGTTGAGGGTCCATTCAAAGATAGAAACTGGGAAAGTATGGTGAAATTTTCCTTCAATTCCCCACATGTTATTTACTTGGAGGTGCTGCACTGGAGATACAGTGCCCCAGAAAACAGCTACTAGTCCTAAATCAACCAAAAGCAGAGGGTCCTTCTTCCCTCTGCAAATTATCTTATTTTCTTGTTCTCAAGTTTAGTTTTCTTTTTCATGAATTAAATACTTCTTTTGCATGTAAGAGAGCAAGGTGCCATTCTTCCCTTCAATAAGTCCTGAAGAGGGGCAAAAAAAGATAAGTTATGCATATCCTACATGGCTTAAATACTAAATCCAGGAAGAAGTTCCAGCCCCCTAAAACCTGACCATAAATAAAGCATTTGACTCTTGGAGAAATTTCAAATGTCTCTTTCTCCCCCTTCAGCATTTTTAATGTTTGTTCTTTGAAGTATCTAGGTGGACCATTTCACTTTCTGGGGCAGGGGTGAAAGTCTATCACATTCAATCCATTCAGTCAAAATAATTGCAAAAATGTTTCCTTATGACTGTGTAAACATGATGTGCATGTCACAATATTTAGTCACACCAGGATCAACACATTTTTACATTTGTGCAAAAGAAGGTCCCTCATGACACTATTGATTTAAATAAAGAAAACTAGAGGTCTATCAGATACAATATACTCAAGCAGAACTACATTTTTTTTTAAAAAAAAAGTTCTAGTTTTAGATTCTAAATTTAGCTTAAAACACTGCTTTTTTGAAAGCATTATCAAACTCATGTTCATTTGACAGGTATGAGCAAGGCTGGGTAAAGAATTTGTATTACCTTGTTAACACAGTGTAACACAGTGTTACACATCAGGAAACAAACTGTGCAATAAATAATTTGATCTGCAGAAAGGCTTACAAGTTCTTCTGTAGTCAGAATCATAGTCTCACAGAATTTGTAGATGCATACATAAGCATGTTTCCTTACAGAGTAATATTCTTCCTACATATTTTCCTACTCTTTTATATTCCTGAATATTTCCTTAGCTGATCCTCAGCCTAGAGCCTTTATTATTTCTTTTCTTTATCTTCAAAGATTCTGACAACTTTTTGGTTTAGATATATAAAATAAGCATATGTTTTTATGGGAGTTTTTGCTATTTTAGGATTCTCTTCAAGTCTTTATCTTTGGTGTGCTACTTGTTTCCTCAGTTCTAAAGTTAAGTCTTATAATTTAAACCTCATACCTTAAATCTTAATGAGTTCAAATATCCGTCAATCAAAAAGGCTCAGCTATTAATTCCAGTCTTAACACAGAGTTTTGAGACCTAGTTTCATCATCAGCCTATTATTAGGCTCCTGCCTAATAATAATAATAATATCTTGAAATAATAATAATATCTTGAAATATTCTGTTTTTGAAAAACCTCTGAGAGAATGTCAAAGCAGTGACAGCCCATCTCAGTGAGCAGGAACTCCTTTTGACACGCACTGCTCATTCAGAGCCTTACAGAAACTCCAGCAAATAGCAGATAAAAGGCAACAAAGGTCAGCTTTTAATCCACCTTTTGGTGTAATTTTCTGTTTCAGATGTCCACCATCCCAATGCACACACAAATTTACTGACACTGTTACCACCTTTCTGAGAATTAATCCTAGACATCTTGTGAGAAACAGAAGGAAGTGAAAGAAGGAAGTTATAAATAGACAATTAAAAGCAGCATAGTCATGCTATTAAAAAATAAACACACAAGCATGAATTAAATATTTATATTCACATTTAAAGAATAACTGATAAATAAAAAATATATATATATAAAAAAAGAGATAGATGTATTTCCTGAAATGAACTCTCTTACTAGCTTAAAATAAATATTGTTATCCACAAAATGATTAGTATTACAACCTTGAACATGGTGGTTTAATGACCAAAACCTCAGTACCTAGATAAGAAAATTTATTTGTTTGGAGTCTGAAACCATAAAGTTTCAAAATAATGATTTTATAGGGATGTTTTTATCCAGAGTAAATGATTATTGATAACACATGCTTTATAGGAAGAACTGTTCTGGACTAAAGAAACATTTACTTCATTGTGTTACTGATTATGTTATGTTTCATAGTGTTTTTAGCAATAGAAACCACTTTTATAAATTGTTGCCTCAAGGAATTTCATTTTGTAAGGTGTCTTAGGATGGTTTGGTAAGAACTACTACTTTTCTTGAAGTGACAATGACTCCTTTGGGGCACTGCATAAATTTATTATGAAGCACTGTAATGAATAATAAAACTGTATTATTGAACTAAAAATTATTAGGGAACATTCATCACTTTCTTCTGTCCCAAAATCATATAGAAAACTGCAGCATCAGTGTGAAATCTTGTGAATGCAGGATGCTTTGGATTAGAATGCATCACTCTGACATTTATTTCATTTATAATGGAAAACATAAAGTAGATAGTGGTCTTTGAGATTGCCTCTCCTAGAAATCCTGAAGTACACAGCAATTTCATCCTTAAGCAACGTCCTTCCTCAGTCTTTTACAACGTTCTGGTTTTACATAAAATCCTTGCACAAGTGAAGACACATGATAGATACCTTGAACCTATCCTAGAAAAATATGTTGGGTTTGCAGCTGACACATGCTTCTGCATATTGACACATTGAGTTGAGAACAGTACAAAGATCTCTCATTGAACCTCCTCCATTTTACTGTAACTGTTACATTGAAGTTTCATCACAATAATTTAGAAATGTAAGGAAAACTCCTTTGAGATTTCCCTCTCCTCCCAGTTTTAATATAGCAATTCTGATAATCTTGTGGGTTAGGGCAGTGTAGCACAATCTCTCTGCCAAGCCTCATTATTTCATGCCCCAGAGAAACTCCAGCCTGCTGTTGGCAGAATTTGTCTCCTCAATGGCAAATATGGGAATTAATGCAGCCTCGTAATATAAACAAACCATCCCCCAGTACAATGGCAGACTTCCCCTGGTCTCATCCTAACTGAACTACCCAATAAACTACACCTACCCTTTCTGGTCAAAAAGCAAAAGTGGTCAAAAAGCCACGTTTTATGCAGAAAAGAATTGAGAAGAATTTCTCAAGCCCATGTCAAGGAATAAAAAAATCAAGTGTTTAGTAACACTGGTCCAAGAGATATGTCTAAACCAATATACTTTGAAGCACTCCTAGTGTCCCTGGAATAGGTGGAGGAGTTGTAATATATATGTTGTAACCAGAATCAGCCAAACCCCAGGAGAATATGGAACCTAGTAGCTCCATATATTGGCTCATACCATACAAATCCAAGTACTGGAGCTCAACAGGATTTTTAGGGCTCTCTGGCCAAACTTTGTTATATGTACAATGAGTTCCACTACACAGGAGCTAAGGAGCACATCCACCTGCTCACCTGAGATCATAATTTGTAGTAGACTAGCCAATTAATTAGCTTCATGACAAAAGCATTTTCTTGCTCCTAGGTTTTTCTTCCTGGCCATCTTAAGAATCCAACTTCTTGTAGCTGTAACACAGGGTACCACAAAAATGTTTAAAGGAGTACTGTATTCACTTCCTCTTAGCATCTTTCTTGTTGACCATCTTCACATATGCTTGGTGTTTTCATCCATCTGCCTTTGGCAGTAGTACCTGCACAGTGGTGAGTCATAAAAAGTTCTAAAGCAGCCCACCTGCCAATCTGGTAGGTAAGAATATGTCGGCTTTCTCTGTTTGCCATTTTTTCTACTTTATCTCATTTTGACCAAAAAAAAAAACCACTTTCCTTGGCACTGTTTCTTTTTTATTCTTCTACCCTAATGAACATGTGTTTTATTACTATTCTATTCATCAAAATCATATTTTTTGATGTCATGAATAGATCATACATTTTTTAAAGATTCCAACACCTATTCATATAGAAGAAAAAAAAGACTTGATATTTGAAAATGTCACTTAATACAGAGTTTGTGAGTTTTAAATAATTTTACACAGTGTGAGAAAGTTAAAATGTTATTTTATTAAAAATTGAGGGGGTTGGAAAATCTCACTTTCTCTTTTTCTTTTGAAGAAAAGAATACAAAATAATTTTCCACTTTGTTTAACAAAGAGAACAAAAAGGTGTTACAGGATTTCACCAGAATGCATGAAGTAAAAACTCTTCTGAGTCCCTCAGGGAGAAGAAAAATCCTGAGATTGAATTAAAGCCTTTAGAGTTAAAGACTTTAGAGAAACTTAAATATATTAAGCCATAGATAAAAAGTAAGAATGTAAGTTTTAGTCTTAAGTAAGTAGAAATATAACGTAAATGCCTTAAAACTCTGTCTTAGCTAGTGAAAAGCCCTAAGGCCTAGTTTAAATTTCAGTAATGATACCCTTCAGTGATGCAACAATGTCCCAGACACAATGAAAACATAGCTTGCATTCTTAGATAGAGAAGATAGGACTATTCACTTAAATAGATAATGTTCCATATAGAGGATTTAGGTAAAACTGGCACCGCTTTCTTGAATTAAGAATTAAGCTTAGATTGGTGTAGAAAAAAGTTTTAGAATAGTGTTTTTAGCTGATTGGATGATTTACAAATTTAATCATCTGTATTGAGAAGAGGCACACACATACACACACAAAAGAAGAAGAACCATCAGCAGCACCATCATCATCATCCGAAGACGAATTACTGCAACTGCTTCTGCTACCCAGACCAACAGAACTCTACGCTGGGAAGCTGCTGCTCAGAATTTGGGACTGTATACCAAAAGCTTTTAGCAAGGGCTTTAACTCTCTGAGCTCTTTGCCTTCGAGACTGATGCATTTATATAGTAAACATCTTTATTGCAACCACCAACTGCTCTTGTCTGCTTAAAGACCTGGAGAAAACCATGAAAAACTCAACAACCAGGATCATGGTTTTTTTCAGAAAACTTGGATATCACATGGTGACATGAGGTGACTTTACCTTTAAGGTGGTTGTGAGACCTAAGGAAGTTGAAGTTGCTGGGGACTGATGGGAGTCTTTTCTCCTGACCAATTATCATTGGCCATTACTGGGAATTGACAGCAATTTTAACCATTGAAAAGGGAGATTAACTTGTGAACCCTACCTTAAGATGTAAAGTCAGGGCACTTTGGCTCTCTTTGTTTCCTGGCTGTGAAAGGTAACAGAGCTCCAGGCCTCCCGTTCCCTGCCCAGGCCATGCGGCCCCGTGGGGCAGGGGCTGGGCTGGGCCCAGCGGCTCCCGGCCGGGAGATGGGGCCTGTGGGGCTTGCCCCGGGCTCTGGCCGGGCCAGGCCGGTCCCTGGCTCGGCTGCAGTGACGTAATTCACCGGGGACTGCCGAGTAAAGGAGAAAAAGCTCTCGACCTGCAGCGAGCTAAAGCGGTGACTACACTTTCCAGAACAGCCATGGGGAATTTTCTGTCACAGACAGCTCCAGCTCCTGCACCGGCAGAGGTCACAAAGCCATCTACAAAGCCTGGGCAAGATTTTAAACTTTTCATTTCTCAGATGAGACTTGAAGATTAATCCTTTTATCTGGAGAGAGAAAAAAAGAGTGATCAACATGTAAAGAGACTTTATAAAACTATCAGAGACAAGAAAGAAAAGAAGCTTCAGGAAAGGTAGAGAATCAAGAAGATGCTTTAATTAAGATGAAATATTTTTCTGTTAAAGCTATGGAGATGGACAATAAAGTCCTGAAAGAACTCCTTTACTTCATGACCATATATAGGGAGGAATAGAGTGTTCAAAGTGAAAATTTCAAGTAAAAAGTAGAGTGATTGTGATATAGTGAAGTGCTGGAAACAGTGAAGCAAAAATTTGAAGCCTTGGGGGGCAATGAGAAAAACTGTTTTCTGGTGAAGCTCACAGAAACAGATGAAGAAGACTTTTGCCTTTGGATAACTCATCCTTAAAATGCCATCCCTAGACTCATGGCCCATACACACCTCAGAGTGATGTGTAATGGGAGGAGTGAGCTCTGATAACAGCAGCTCTGGGCAGCTGACATCAGGGCAATGGAAAACTATAACAAAAGTTTTCTTGTGAGAAACTCCATAAATTAACAGAAAGAAACTTCTGTTTCTCTACAAAGACTGGTGAAAAGACTGTAGCAGGAATTGGGTCTGTTTTAACCACCAAAGTTCCAAAGTTTTTGTCTCTGTTGTCATGTGAACAAGGATAGTGGGTAGATAGAGGATAAAAAAGTTTTTTTCTGGAAGTTTACTCTGGTGTTCTTATTATTGTGGTTTGTCAATAAACTTTCTTTATTCCTTTTAAGTTTTATGCCTGTTTTGCTCTTGTTCTAATCCATATCTCACAGCAAGAAATAAGTAATTTTTTTAGTTACTGGTTTAAAACCACAACACATGGATACTGTGATGTACTGTGCGTCATAGTATGGTGCTAATCTTTGTCAGAGTAAAGAGACTTCATCATTACAACATAACTACTTTTCATAGAATATATATATTTATTTCTTGCATATGTGTGAAAATGTATATAAATATTTTTGAAAATTAAGTCATGTCATAATCTGACTAGTTTATGGAAATCGATGATGAGCCTGGCTTTACCACTTGGGTTTATTCAGAGGTAAGAACTGTTAAAAGTTGTTAGTCTGGGACTTCTATTGTAAATAAGAAATAACATTATGGACTCATTATAAACTATTTATAAAATTTAAGCTATTTAAGAAAATTAAACTGGAATCTCAATGTTTTTTTAACTATTATAATTGTAAGATATATTATGAGAATGTATCACCTCCCTCTTCAGTGAGACTGCTTTTATATCCTAGTTTCTGTATTCAAACCTTCCTTCAAGCTATATTTTAGAAATGCAGTCGAATTATATTACGAAAAGTTAAGCACAGGTTGGTGAAGGAAAAAATGTAGATTCTTTCAAGAAAAGAAAATTCTTAGCATCTGTAATTTTGTTAAAGGTGTTTTTTTAAAAAAAAATCCATTTATAAAATTCCTTTAAAATAATTTAGAAAGAGGAATTATTATATACTTGCCAACAGAAGGTATAAGCTGTTTTTTTTCTGTAAAATTTGCAGCACCTCAGTGTGACAAGGTAACACATTTTTAAATGGTTTCTTAAAGAAATTATTTTATTTATAACAATGAATAACACAGTTTTGACTTTCTTGTATATTCCCTGCATAAACTGTGCAACCATTAATTTTAGTCTTCAATGCTATCTGAATTTCTCCCTTTTAGAAAAGCAAATGCAGGTTTCTTGTGACAAGGAACAGACTGGCAGCTTTTCCAATAACTGTTCCCTAAACTTTCACATAAATGGCAAGAGAAGTTAAATAATCTTGAAAAACTGTCAGAAGGTATCATATAATGTGGATAGTGCTTGTCAGTTTTATTTTACAGCTGATTTCCCAATTGCAAAGCAAAACTTTGGTTGATACTAAGCAAAATATGTTTTGCATTACTAATTGACTCCAAACATTTTGTTTCCAAAAGGAGACAGGGCCTAGCTGAGTTTAAATCTTTTTGTGACCTTAGTGTTGACAGCTCCTAATTTTTATGATTTTTTTTCCGGCAGAGACTGGAAGGTTGTAGTTTCTCTGTGTTCCATTACTGATCCAAACTCCAAAAACTCCATCATTATAAATTATAGAAACCTTTTGGCCAGTATTAAATCAAAACACTTCTAATGGTCTTCTACATTTCATTACAAGCACTGACACTCTTTTAAACTCTGGACACACTACAACATTGTAAAGCAAGGCTTCTAATTGCTTTACCAGTTTGCTGTAACTCTGGTGCAATATGAAAAACCAACAAGGATTGTGAACTCGGTACTCGCAAATTGGTGAGCACACTACTTTCTAAGTCAATACTTTCATACATTCACATCAGCTTCATCTGTCATCTCCTTGTGCTTTTATAACATTTTAGAAAGAGGTTGATGACTATGACAGAACTTAAATTATTTCTTTTTTTTTACCAAAATGGACAAGAAGTATTCAGGTAGTGACTTACTGCAATCCACTTGGGGCAGACACTAGTTGATGAGGAATCCTAGAACCTTAGTACAAAGAAATGATAGTGTAGACATTTATTTACCTATGTCTTGATCCTCAGTAGCCCAGGATAAATCATTCCCTCTGCTTTGTAAGCTAGACTCCTCAGTTAAGAAGCTCAGATTGCCTGCTATTAATCACTTAAATATGTACACTTTTTACATGCATAAGTTTAAACACATATACATGTAATCATCTTAAGCAAATAAAAATAACAATTTTGTCCTACTGAGAAGCACATAGAGTTTTCTAAGAGTGTAGGAATGAGCCAGCAGATATGTTCTTTTGACTATGCATCAAAAGAGATATCTCCAAATCCTTATCGCATAAGGATTGCAATAATTTCGTAATTAACTAATATGAGTAAATATAGGGAAATGCATGATCAGTTAGTGCTAGCACCCTAGCCAATTGATGGTCCTTAGTATATTACAGCATTCTTCTGCTAACAGTTTGACACCCATGAAAAGAATGCAGCAGGATTCATATATATATATATATACATACATCAGAAAACTTATTCCATGATACAAATCATGCTTCCTAGATGTTCTCTGAATCTTACATAACTTTTGTCTACCTAATTGCAGGCTAAGTTCATTTTTAAAACAATTCTAAGAGGAACTATACATACATACAGGAAAAAAGGAAAGAAAAGAAGGAATGAAGTGCAGAAGGAAGGAAGTGCAGTAGAAAGAAAGAAAGAAAGAAAGAAAGAAAGAAAGAAAGAAAGAAAGAAAGAAAGAAAGAAAGAAAGAAAGAAAGAAAGAAAGAAAGAAAGAAAGAAAGAAAGAAAGAAAGAAAGAAAGAATAAAAAATGTAAGCAGTCTAGAGAAATGTAGTTGCCTTATCAATCAGGGTCCAAGGTCTGTGGCTCAAGCCTAGTCTGTGCAATCTGTCACAAAAAGCAGATGTAAATAAGGGGAGTAAATATCAACCACACAGAATGAATATTATCATGCTGGTAGTGCCCAATTTCATGTGAAATGTTTCACAAATATAGTTTCCATTGTAAATAGATTTATGCAGGACTGTCCACTCACTCATATGTTTATTTCTGCAGTATGCATGTGTTGGATATTTCTCTTCATCTCTGATACCCTTTTCTGAAAATAGAAGCTAAAAGCAAAAATTTTCTCCCAGAGAAAAGGAAATATAGTTATGGGTGTTAATAGCTGACTTATCTATCATAGAATTCCTTCATTCCTTCATTCCATTAATTCCATCAGCTTTTATCTGTAGACTGACCAAAAAATTTGTATGAATTTACATTATAGCATCTGGAAGAGGCAGGGTAAATGGCAGCTCAGATGTCCTTGTCAGAAACAAAGCAAATGTATCAACATATGTTTAAAAATACTATTGATGAGTAAAAGAAGACAATAAATAGAAAAGAAATAAAGACAAAATAAAAGAGGAAGGTAAATTACAGAAGGCTGTCATGAATGTACAGACATAGTGCAGACCTTTCATTTGAGGGAAAAAAAGAAAGTTGCAAGCAACAGTTCAAAGTAATGGAATACTCCTTTAAAAAGGGAAAAGATGAGATGAAAGTGGAAGTATAGGTAGGAAAGAAATGATGAAGCAAAGACCTGAGGTGACAGGAGAGGGATAATAGGGTAGGAGAGGAGAGCAGCAGTCAAACCATATTGCATAATGTTAGAAGAAAAGAGGCTAGAATAAAAGAGAATAAGTTAAATATAAATAAAAAACCCAAACATGTTTATGATGATAACAGAAAGGAATATATTACATGCTGGAAAAAAAAAAAAAAAAAAGGAGTGGAAGAAAAAGAGTAAATGAGAGCATGCTGCTTAGTATAGGAAAATAAAAGATTACTCAGGAGAATCTTGTTTAGAATCTGATTACCTGGGTGCCAAAACCATCTCAAATGTGCTATTACAGAAAAAGGAAAATCTTGACACTTCTTTTAACTCTGAATATGTTTTATAAAATATTGTGTGCTCACTAATTATGATGTTTTTGTTTCACTGCATAGAGTGAATCAATATTCGTACTGTCATACTGTCATGAAAGTGTTTAAAATGTGTGTTTTTCATATATTGTTACAGAGAAGTATAGTGTCAAAAAGAGA